TATAAATTAAATAAGTTAACTTACGATTGTAAACATAAACAATTATTGTAACTCTAATGAAACAAAAATCATAACCTTAACAAACTTTCCTCAATTGCTAATGATAACGATAGCCGTCTTTACTCAACTGTCATCCAGCTGCACCTGTTGCCGGGCAACTAACATCGTTCCAGACAGCTTGGCGCCACAACGACGAAAATCCATGGAAAGAACCCCATGGAAGAATGAATTAAAAGACCCGTGATTTATTGGACGTGTTTTAACCAAGGATCGAAATCACGAATCACGGCGTTTGATCGATCACGGTATTTGCGCAATTTACCTTATCTGTAAATTTAGCTTCATGCTCTAGTATTGGGTTCGTTACTTGGTTTTGTGTTTCTGTTTGTTGCCGGATTGTGTTTTGGTTGTGTTCAACTACCGGTGCCAATTAATTTCTGATTTCAGTGGTTTTGAATTTAACAATTTTCTAAATCTGATTTAGTGTTCTGGGAGGCTTCATTTATGTTTAGGGTCAGTTAGGTTTCAATTTTGCGACTTCCGTCAACGATAATCTGACTGGTCTTAAGGCGTTCATTGGCTACGATATTGGACAATTCTTGTCTAATTTCGTCATTCTGTTTATACACCTTGTTAATGATGTTGTTATCAATTTGTTGTACTTCTAAAGTCTGTACTTGTTTGATAGCACGGATTTCGTCGAGTTCCTTACGCATGTTGTTTCGATTTTCTGCCAAAGTGTCAAATTTAGAATTTAATTCATTTTTAACATCGTTTTTGACTTCATTTAGGCCCTTATTAAGTTTGTTTTCAACACTAGCTACTTCATTTTTTACTTATTCGACCTTTATCGATTTTATTTCCAAGCCGTTCGAATAATGAGATCAATTGGCATTGGAAATCATCAGTAACTACTGTCGACTTAGTTGGCAAGGCATTAACAGATGTGGTGACTTTGGTAGCATTCCATTAGTCATTGAAGACGTCGTAGTATGGGTTTGTCATAGTCAGCTGTGTGGTAGGTGTGAAGGGAGAGGGAGACTGGGTAGCATCGGGAGTCTTCGGTGGTGTTAGGATGTTGTCGTTGTCGTCGGAGACCAGCATCGGTTTCTGTTGGCTTGGCTTTGACATTCAAGATGGCGGATTCCAGTGTTTTTTTTTTTTTTTTTTTTTAGGGAGAGGAGGGAAAATGCTTTTACGCACACAGGTAGCCAGACTGTAGTGTGAGACTCCTGAAATTATCAGACTACTCACTAAAAAACCCCCTCTACTCTGTTGGACACAGACCTGGAATTGTTTGTCACATTACTTCAAGTCAGGCCAACATGTGACCTAAGCCCTCAGGGCTCGCACCGTTTCTGGCATTGTGATTCTTTATGACCTACACCGCATCCCGGTCAAGGTCGATCTTCTTGGCGCGGAGGATACCCTGGATATAATGTGACACACAGGTCCAATTGTCCTCACCCTCCGTCATAATCGGTATGACCGCGTCCACCGACAGCAGTCCTATTAACTGTTGAGCCTCCAGGCGGGGCCTTTCCCAGCGCTGGCAGTGGAAAAATGTATGTTCCACGCCATCGAGAATGCCTGGGCAGTATATGCAGTCGGGAGACACGGCTTTGCCCATCCTGAACAGGTACGAAAAAGCCGTGTCCCGTCAGAAATTGGGTGAGGTAAAAGTCCACCTCTCCGTACCGCCGATCAACCCAAGGTTGGACTTGCTGTATCAGTCGCCTGGTCCAGAGTCCCCGTGTCTCCTGTTCCCAGCCCTCCTGCCACAGCTGGTAGGTGCGGGTGCGTTCCTCTGTTCGTGCCTCGTCCTCCCCGCGGCGCCGGTAAATTGCCTTTCTCTCCGCTGCCAAAAGTTTGACGGGGATGACTCCAGCAATCACCAGGACGGCGGGCTCGGACACTGTTCGGTAGGCAGATGCTACCCTCAGTGCTGCCTGACGCTGCACTCGGGCGAGCCGCATCCTGTATGCCTCCTTCCAGTGTTCGATGTGGCAATGGTAATGGCGTCTTTCACTGGGTTTACTTCTGCTTCGGTTTCCTTAAACCCCCCGGTTTCCTTATTATTGTGCCCGGATAGGCTGTTTAATTGTTTCACTTGGTGTTGTGTTACGATGTAAGGTTTTGCGGGATTTTCGAACGAACTGTGTTAGGTTGGTATTGGAGTGTATTGATTATTGTCACTGTGATTGTCAGTAGGGACTGGGACGTTGTCAACTGTGTCAATCATAATTATTGGGTTGTGGATGAGTAGACGTTGCCCGGATCGGGCACAAAATTGATATTGCGCATGATCGAGGTGTAGATAGGGTACTCTCAGCCGGATGTAATCTAACCACAGCTGATTAGCTGACGTCAGTAGGTGTTTGTATTAAATAAATTATTATGGATAAAAAGTGTTGGCTTGAGCGGGTTTCGAACCCGAGTTTTTTGAATGGTAGTTGGAGTCGTTACCATTTGAGCTACAACAGCAGTGTTATGAGTATAGGTTTTATAGTGGTAAATGATGCCTTATATATACAGGGTGTGTAAATATTGTAGGTTTGATTTTAACCTGGTTCAATGCTAACCATTTATTTAGAGGTTCACGGGTTCGATTCTAACCTAACACAAAAAAAGTCATTTCTGGTTCAATTCTAACGCTGGATGTAATCTATTCACAGTTGTTTATTTCAGCTGATTAGCTGATCACGTAACCAGGTTTAGAGGTTCACGGGTTCAATCCTAACATATGCTAAATATGTAGTAGTTTTAAAGGTTTATGGGTTCAATCCTAGCCTATTATTGGAGGTTTGTGGGTTCGATCCTAACATATGCCAGAGGTTCATGGGTTCAATCCTAACCTATCATTTGGAGGTCTATGGGTTTAATTCTAGCTTATGCTAGAGGTTCATGGTTTGATTTTAATCTAACACAAAACATGTTATTTCCGGTTCAATTCTAATCAATTGTTATGTATTATAGTGGGAGGTTTGATTCTAACATATGCTATGGGTTCAAACCTAACCTAGCTGGAGAGGTTCATGGGTTTAATCCTATCACAGTAGGTTTTGTAAAAACTTTATATAGTGTATAATGCTTAAGCGAAACCTGATCATAAAAGACTATTATACTAAATGTGTAGTAGCATTGGAGGTTATTCTATATATGCTATAGTGTATAATAAATATAAAACAGCTGAAAGAGGGCTTAACTTTACCATTAAATGCCACCAAATATCATATGTTAAATGAGTTACTTAGGGTTGGGTTGTTTTTTTGTATAGTGGGAGGTTCACTGGTTCAATCCTAACCTATCATTTGGAGGTCTATGGGTTTAATCCTAACATATCACTTTAGGTAAGGTTTATGGGTTTGACTCTAACTTAACACAAAACATGTCATTTCCGGTTATTGGGTTCGATCCTAACATATGCTAAGGGTTTAATGCTAACTAACCACAAAACATGTTATTAGAGGTTTATGGGTTCAATCCTAACCTATTATTGAAGGTTCACAGGTCCGATTTTAACCTAACACAAAACATGTTATTAGAGGTTCATGGGTTTAATCCTATCTCAGTAGAATTTGTAAAAAAACACTTTATTTTATATAGTGTATAATGCTTAAGTGAAACCTGATCATAAAAGACTATTATACTAAATGGGTAGTAGCATTAGAGGTTGGCATGCTGTAGTGTATAATAAATATAAAACAGCTGAAAGAGGGCTTAACTTAACCATTAAATGCCACCAAATATCATATGTTAAACTATTGATTTTAATCTATGCTAAATGAGTTACTTTGGGCTGTTTTTGTAGTGAGAGGTTCACGGGTTCGATTCCTAGCTGGTTATATTATTTTATATATATGTAACCACAAGTCAAACAAGTTTATAATATTGGAGTGTTAGTGTTGACGGTATAATTATAATAATGATTAACTTGATATAAGATTCATCATAAAGGATTACTCTGAGTTGAGGTATTAGTTTATAAATTATCCACCAGGTAGTAGCACTAGTACTGCCAACTACTGATAGCTGATTATATGATTTTGTAACATAACCTCACTTCTGTGTTATATGCTTTTCTGCCAAGTAAAATAACTTCATTTTATGTTTTACTAGCAGAGAACCCGTCCTTCGTACGGGGTTGGCATCACGAATAAAATGCTTATTGCAGTTATACTCAAGTTTTGCGTTTGCAATGGGGGGAGGACACAGTTTAATAAAATTTACTTCTTTAAATTTATGGTATACTGCATTATTACACATCTACCATAGCCATAATGTTCTACTACTTCTCCTAAACAATAGGGAAAAATTAATTATTATGTATCACAGTTTTTTGTCGATGCTTAATTCAAATTAGCTGTTTTCATAAATATAAAAAAAAATAATAGTGCTGCACCCTGTTGGTAAATCTTATAACTTTTTAATGCTTTTGCATATCATAGAACCAACTTTTTAGTTAAAACACAGCTGACTAAATTCTTTAATTCCCATTAAACATAAATACTCATAAGGTTAACATGGGGAACTGCAGAGCCACTGGGACGGAGCCCGAAAGGATTTTTGAAATAAGAATATGTCTGTACGTTAATCGGGAATGTAAGCTATCATCATGCCAAATTTCAGCCCAATCCGTCCAGTAGTTAAAGCGTGATTGAACTTCAAACAAACAATTGTAACATAACCTCTGTTTTCCTATCAAGTTTATAATTATAAATGTATAATATATGCTTGATTTACTATAATAAATTTGAATAATGTACTGTGGTATTAGGTAGCTGTGTTTTACCAACTACTGATTACATTGTATATGATATAATCTCTGTTTTGTGTTATCTTTTTTTTATCAATTGTTTCTACTAATCGTTTTTTTATTAATGGAATTCTTTTATGGTGTAATCTAAGTTGGGGGAATTAATAAAAACAGTTGTGAAAGCTAAATATAGATTTATTTATACTATTATATACAAACTTATTACTAAATACTTAAAGATTTTCTGATTTCTGATTTCTGATACTTAACGCTAGTAGAGGAGGAGGAGAGGGGCAGCCATCTGAAACAAATAATAAACATAATTAGTATATAATAATTATATCTATATATATAAAATCCAATGTATGTTTGTATGTTTGTATATTTGTATGTTTGTATATTTGTATATTTGTATGTTTGTCCTTTATGGACTCCAAAACCGCTCGACAGATTGTAATGAAACTTTTAGGCATTATTAAGCATTATTCAAGGATGGTTTGTGTGAAGTTTGGTGCAGATCCGTCAATAGGGCTCCGCCCCAGTGGCTCTGGAGTTTCCCATGTTAACCTTATGAGTACTCATATTTAAATGGAATTAAAGAATCTTAACAGCTGGTGCAGCTAAACAATTTGATTCTGTGATGTTCAATAGCATTAAAAAGTTAATAGGTTTACCAACAGGGTGCAGCACTATATTTTTTTTAATTTATGAGAACAGCTAATTTGCAGCCAAAAGGTGAGTGAGCGTAGCGAACGAACTTCAACCTGGAGGTGAGTTAGCATAGCGAACGAGCTAACCTGAAGGCAAGTGAGCGCAGCGAACGAGCTCCAACCTAAAGGTGAGTGAGCGTAGCGAACGAACTTCAACCAGGACGTGATTGAGCCATGCGAACGAGCTCATCTTGAAAATGAACGAGCATGTGACATAAAACCACAATAGGACAGGACGACGTCTGTCGGGCCAGCTAGTAGTATATAATATTAAATATAATGTCTACATCCTGCGCGGTATTGCATCATCCAAATCAGCAACTATCACTTCCTGTGTACCATATTACAACCGGATAACCACCTTTGATAACCACTTTTGTGGTATTGCATCATCTAAAACAACAGCTATCACTTCCTCTTGTGTACCACGTCACCTTTGATAAACACATTTGTGGTTATCCTTGTCCCTATATAAACCCTTATCGCAACCCTGCCATTATTGCATCACTTTGCTCCCAGTGCTTCAAGATGACGGATGTAAGTAACTCTGCTCCAGTAGATTCCAATGAATCTGTTGATAGTAATGAACCTGTAAATGTTGTAGATGATTCTGTTGAAGTAATTGTCCCTGTAAATATTCTAGATAAACATGAAAATTATGTAAAGAGATTTCGCATTCATGGAATTAATACTGTTTTTAAGTTTTCTAACCCCCCACCAGAAACTAATGAGATTGACTGGCTAAGACAAGGGTTTGGTCAAATTGTTAATGAAATGAAAGAAGTTTGTCAGGAGGGCGATCAATTGGGATTCACTCTGCGTTCACTTAACCTGAGAAGTAAAGAGCCGGGGTTTGTTGCTTTTCGCCCTGCAAATGAAGTTAACGAGGACGTCCAGTGGCAAATTTTTGGGGGAATTGTGCAATCAAATTCTGAATCAATCAAGTCCACAGATACATTTCAAGTTGAATGTACCCGAGTTAATCTCCCTGTAGGTTCAGGAGGCTGCAAAAGACCAGGCCTGTACAACACCTTTGACGAAGAATGTAAAGCTAGGACTGGGATTGTCGTAATTAACAATAAAGATAATTTGTGTCTTCCCCGTGCTATTGTAGTGGCTATAGCTAATGTAAATAAAGATCCTGAATATAAATTAGTTAGAATGGATAGGGCAAATAGGCAAACTGTTAGGGCTCAGGAACTTGTACGTAGAGCTAGAGTTGTGATGCCTGAGGGTGGTGCAGGCATTCCTGAACTTGGAAAATTCCAACATCTGCTTAAAGACTATAAAATCACAGTGTACAACTACAATGCTAAAGGTCGTGATGTGTATTTTGAGGGTAGTGTGGAGAACCCCAAGTTCAAAATTAACCTGTTGTTTTATAACCGGCACTATAATGTAATTACTAGCCTGACAGCAGCCTTTGCTTGTAAATATTTCTGTGAGGCCTGTTATATCCCGTATGATCACAAAGGAGCCCACAGATGCTCAAACATTTGTCCCTGTTGCCAAACCATCTCGCCCCCATGTATAGAGGAGTATGGGGGGATCTTGTGTCCTAAATGCAATCTAACTTATAAAAACCAACGCTGTTTTATAGCGCATCAGGTTGATAGGTGTAAACATGTGAAGAAATGTCTTGACTGTGGGAAACTAGTTTTGCTTAAAGAGAGGTCCAAGCCTCACAAGTGTGGGGAAGTATTTTGTAAACCTTGTGGGGAGTATAAAGATCCCAACCATAAATGTTATATGAAACCCAATGAGGGAAAACCTAAATCTAAAGACTATGTTTTTATTTTCTTTGACTTGGAAACCCGCCAGGATGAGCCTCTGCCCTCTGACCCTGAAAGTAAATTGCATAAAGTAAACTTGTGTGTGTCTCAGCAATTTTGTTACCAGTGTATTGAGGGGAAATTCTGTATTGCATGTAAAAATCGTACGCGAGTGTTTGACTCTGACCCTATCAATCAGTTTATGAACTATGTAATGTATGTAAGGAAACAGTTTAAAAACGTCTGCGTAATTGCACACAATGGGCAGGGGTTTGACTTTCAATTTTTGCTAAAGTACTTGTTGGAAGAAACAAAATTTACACCAGAACTTGTAATGCGGGGAACTAAGATTATCTTAATGGAAATTGACAATGTAAGGTTTGTTGATTCACTTAGCTACTTCCCTATGGCTTTGTCTGCTCTGCCTAAAGCCTTTGACCTACCTCCAGAGAAAAAGAAAGGCTATTTTCCCCATTTGTTCAACACTCTGGCAAACCAAGACTACGTAGGCCCTATGCCAGACAAAAAGTACTACTGTCCTGAATCTATGTTTGAGAAATCCTATAATGACTTTTAAAAATGGTACAGTGAGCAGGTGGCAAACAACTATGTGTTCAACTTCAAAAATGAGATCCTGGCCTACTGTATTTCAGATGTTGATATCTTGGCTCAAGCCTGTCTAAAGTTTCGCTCAATTTTTCTAAAAGAGTGTAATGTTGACCCGTTTCTCGAGGCTGTTACCATTGCAAGTGCCTGCAATCTAGCTTTCCGCCGTAATTTCTTGAAACCCAATACTATCGGACTTATCCCTAAAAACGGCTATCGATTAGTAGACAATCAATCAAATATAGCACTCCAATGGCTTTCTTGGGTCGAGGAAACCAACGGGATTAGGATTGACCACGCAGGTCGAGGTAAAGAAGTTAAAGTCAATGGAATGAAAGTAGACGGGTTTGATGGCAGAAACATCTATGAATTTCATGGCTGTTATTTCCATGGGTGTCCTAAATGCTTTCCTTACAACCGTCACGCTCCTTTGAAAGAGGACCCTTCTGATAGCCTACATCTTCGCTATGAGCGAACCAAGGCTAAAAACGCAAAGTTTACAGAACACGCACTAGTAGAGATGTGGGAATGCGAATTTCGTAAACAGAAAAAAGATCTGCAGCTTAAATATCTGGACAGTTTGCCTATCTTAAACAATCTCCCACTTGACCCGAGGCAGGCTTTCTTTGGAGGTAGGACGGGTAATGCGAAATCCTATCACAAATGTGTTGAGGGGGAAACTATACAGTATGTTGATGTTTGTTCTCTGTACCCTTATGTTTGTAAGTATGGGAAGTACCCCGTAGGCCATCCAACCATCTATGTAGGAGATAAGGAGTGTCGTGAAAGAGGTATGGGTGTAGAGGGTTTGTTAAAATGTAAAGTATTGCCGCCTCTTGATCTGTGCCATCCTGTACTCCCTACAAAAATGAATGATAAATTGATGTTTGTGTTGTGTAGAATGTGTGGGGAAATGATGTATCAGGGAGAATGTAATCATGACAGTGATAATAGGGCACTTGTTGGGACATGGACTATGGACGAGATCAGAAAGGCAGTAGAGAAAGGGTATATTGTATTGGATATGTATGAGTTGTGGGAGTATCAGGTAGCGACTTATGAAAATGGGGGTTTGTTCACCGATTTTATCAATAAATTTCTCAAGATGAAACAGGAAGCTTGGGGTATCCAGAATGGTGTAAGTCTGAGGAGGACAAAAACAAATATATTGCAGAGTATTTGAGACACGAGGGAATTAATTTGGAGAAAGCAAAGATTGTTAAGAATGGAGGTTTGAGATCTTTAGCAAAATTAATGTTAAATAGTTTTTGGGGAAAATTTGGTCAGAGGGAAAATCAAACTAAAGCTACTATTGTTAGGGATCCTAAAACCCTATTTCAAATGCTTTCTAGCCCCGAAATTAAAGTAAACAGAATTCAGATTGTTAATGATGAGGTTGTAGTCGTGTCATGGGGGTATTTAGAGGAAGTGGGGGAACCTCCTAGTAACATAAACGTTTGTATCGCGGCCTACACTACCTCGCAGGCGAGACTCAAGCTCTATGAACACCTTGAGGCCCTAGGAGCTCAAGTATTATATTATGATACTGACAGTGTTGTTTACATATATGGAAACGGTCTTTATAGGGTGTCTACAGGAGATTACCTCGGTGAAATGACTGACGAATTAGTAGAGTATGGACCCGGCTCTTATATCACTGAGTTTGTCTCTGGGGGGCCTAAAATTTACGCATACCTTGTCTGGTCAACCAATCAACAAAAATTGATCCCTATATGTAAAATCAAGGGCCTCACCCTTAACTTTAAAACATCAAAAATTGTAAATTTTGAAATGAAAATTTTTAAAAGAGATGGTTTTGAGTGAAGCAAAACAGACTGTTGAAATTGAAGAAAGTAGAATCAGAAGGACTAGAGACAGAGACATCGTCACCATCACAGAGAGCAAAGTGTTTAAAATAACTGGTCCTAAAAGGAGGTACGAAGGTCAATATGATACTTTACCTTTTGGATATAGAAAAGTCCAAAGGGCCACATTAATTGTATTGTAAATGTAAACTTTGTAAATAATTTTGTTAATTTAAAACTGTACATAGCTCTCCTAGTAAAAAAAAACAAGTCTATAGATATATACTTATATAACCTAACCAAAGTATGAGTGTGTGTATATTGAGTAGTTAAGATTTAGAAGAATCTGTGCTACGCCTTATACTTGTGTGAATGTGTGTACACTGAGGTGCTCAAATTTCAAAGGAT